TAGATCTTCAAAACAAGGAAATTGTTTTCACTCTATGAATTAAGTACAATAGGTCAATAGCTAATTATTTTCTTGACATCTAAGTTCTCATTTCATAGTACTGGGTTAGCTCTAAATAGTAGTGTATTTATTTGCTAACTTTCAATCGGTGTGTGTATAGTTATCTGAGAAATCTAATTGCTGTGTCTTACTACTAGTATTTGTTCATTCATTGTTAGGAGAGAGATCCTATTGAGGGTCCTGTGCCTCGGCTAGATACTCGTTTATGCATGTTATTGTCCATTACCACTCTTGTGGTTGCTCATCTTATCGAAGAAGAGGAAAATGCACCGAGTAATGAAATTGAATATGGCTCCATTTATCACTTGAAAGAGAAAAAGTTCTGTGGGAAGCGTCGCAATGATCTGATTTCCAGCCTACAAATACTCGGCGATTACCAAGGCTTGCTGAGTCCACCCCAATGTGTTGCTTCTGCAGCAAATCAGGCTGCTGCAAAAGCAATGTTGTTTATCTCAGGCATCAGTGTAGGGAGTGCTTACTTCGAGTGCATCAACATGAAAGACATACCTATTAATTGTTGTAAGTAATTTGTTGTTTTCATTTGTCATGATTTTGGTGATTTCCACATTAAATTCTATGAAAGGAAGCAGGAAAAAAAAAAAATTAGCATATAGTTAGTTCCATGCATTCTTGTAAAGAACCCAGGCACTTCATGTTAGGCTTTCTAATCTTATGTTTGTCCTTTTTAGCCGGAAACATGCGCCATCTGATTGTTGAGGCTTGTATTGCCAGAAATTTGGTGGATACATCAGCATATTTCTGGCCAGGCTATGTGAATGGATGCATCAACCAACTACCTCATACAATGCCATCCCAAGGACCTGGTTGGTCACCATTCATGAAGGGCGCGCCACTTACTCCAGTAATGGTTAATGCCTTAGTTTCAACTCCTGCTTCAAGGTATGATTAGACTACTTTGTCTGAACTTTTATTTCCTTCTCTGGAACTTTCATTTCCTTGTAGCTTTCTGGTTCACCCTATTGAGCCATTTCCAGGAATAGTAATCTACTTTTATTCCATTTGAAACCTTCATCTGCCTTTATACTGACCTATTAAATTTAATTTTATTTGAAAAATTCTTTTTTTTTTTTTGGCCAATTATTTGAAAACTTCACGTTACTCTGATAGTTTCATTGGCTTTGAGGATCTGCTTTTTAATCACATTGACTCATGAGTTTTTAGGTCATGTTTGGTTTAATGGAATGGTTATTCCTTGGTTATTGCATGAAAAGGTAAATTAGTGGGAGAGCATGGCAAAATAGGAATGGCTACTCCATAGTTGCAACTTTTTCCTTCTAATAAATGAGAACGTGGTATTAACCAAAGCCCAGGGCAAGGTGGCTGATAGCTATTCGCCTATTCCCACCTTGTTCCAACTTATTGGTAGAAAATGTGTAATTATGAAATAGCATTCCTACATTGCTGTACACTCTCTATTTTACCGTATTCTCATGCAACAAAGATGGAATAAAGATTCCCTTGCTGATTGAACGAAACATGACATTAGGGTTCTGAATAACATGCTTAACATAGCTGGAGATTACAAACTCTCACAGGCAAAGGTATCTAATGAAGTTAACAAAATTATCTGCTAGTTTCATTAACTTGGCCTGGTCTTCAGTTATTCCTTTTTCTTTCCTGAAGCCAGGTATATCAGTTGCTCTTTTTTGTAAATTTACCAAGGGTAAAGCAACTGAACTTAAGCTAATGGATTTGATGGAAGCTTAACAGAATTGGAAAAAATATTTGAGATTGCAATCAAAGGATCAGATGATGAGAAGATATCTGCTGCTACAATTCTTTGTGGGGCTTCACTTATCCGCGGTTGGAATATACAGGTAATGAGGTAGAAGTTATCTGTCTATTTCAATTTCATTAATCCCTTATACACATTGCAGTACTTGCAATTGCATATTTTCTAAGATGGGACAGTTCTTCCTTTTTACTTTTCTCCTCTGTCTTCTTTGTTTGCTCCTCGATTCTTCATTTGCCCCCAGTGTAGTAGAAACCTCTTCTTATTGTGTTAGTTCTATTTTTCCTGCAGGAACATACTGTTCATTTTATTTGTAGATTATTGTCTCCTCCGGTTCCTGCTGATTATGCTGGGAGTGACAGTCATTTGATTGGTTATGCTCCAATGCTGAATGTCCTGATAGTTGGAATGGCATCTGTCGATTGTGTCCAGATTTTCTCACTACATGGCTTTGTATGTTTTCCTTCTGGATCTAAGTGTATTCCACTGTTGTAGATGAGATATGCTGTCTACTAATTGAAACCTTTTTACGTCCACAGGGAATAATTATTTTTTGCCTTTTGTTTTTCTTGCCAGGTACCCCAACTTGCTTGCTCATTGATGCCAATCTGTGAGGTTTTTGGATCATGTGTACCCAATATCTCATGGACTCTCCCCACAGGGGAGGAAATCTCACCTCATGCTGTTTTCTCTAATGCATTTGCTCTTCTTTTAAAGCTATGGAGGTTTAATCATCCTCCTATTGAACATCGAATTGGTGATGTACCAACAGTTGGATCCCATCTGACTCCTGAATACCTCTTATTAGTCCGAAACTCAAACCTTGTGTCATCGGAAAACATCCACAGAGATCGAAAAAACAGAAGACTCTCGGCAGTTGCAAGTTCAGCATCTCCAGAGCCAGTGTTTCTGGACTCATTTCCAAAACTAAAAGTCTGGTACCGGCAGCATCAAAGATGTATTGCTGCAACACTCTCTGGTCTTGTTCAGGGAACACCTGTTCATCAGACAGTTGATGTACTTCTTAACATGATGTTCAGGAAGATAAATAGAGGAAGCCAGTCTGTAATTTCCGTTACTTCTGGAAGTAGTAGTTCCTCTGGGCCTGGGAATGAAGATAACTCTTTGAAACCTAAGTTGCCTGCCTGGGATATACTGGAAGCTGTCCCTTTTGTGGCTGACGCAGCTTTAACAGCTTGTGCTCATGGAAAGCTCTCTCCTCGTGAACTGGCTACAGGTTAGTCTTGTTTTATTTGAAGATTAATGCTCTGATGGATTTGGTAAAAGCTATGCTATTATAACTTGGATGTTTTACTGTTCAGGGTTAAAAGATTTAGCTGATTTTCTTCCCGCATCTTTGGCAACTATAGTAAGCTACTTCTCAGCTGAAGTCAGTCGAGGTGTCTGGAAAACAGTTTTTATGAATGGTATGGATTGGCCCAGCCCTGCTGCAAATTTGTCCAATGTTGAGGAGCATATCAATAAAATTCTAGCTGCCACTGGTGTTGATGTCCCTAGCCTTGCTGCAGGTTTCGTTATTGCCATCTTCCATTCTGAATGCCTAAGTTTAACTGAGAATGCATTGCATTGTTATATCATCCCATGAACTTAGACACCCAAAAGTAGCCCCTCCACTAATAAATAGAGCATGTTTTGTTCCTTTATTTTGTCATTAAGCTATATGAACTATAGATAGAATCACTTATAAAACTCTACAATAGATATAGGAGCTAGGAAGCATATTCATAGTTAGACATGGTTCTAATTATTCAAGATATAGTTATTTCAAGATTCTGATCAATTCTTGTTCTTCCATTAGGAGGGAGCTCTCCCGCTACTCTTCCACTACCTTTGGCTGCCTTTGTAAGTCTCACAATCACTTACAAAATTGACAAGGCCTCAGAAAGATTCCTCAATTTGGCTGGTCCAGCTCTGGAGTCCCTTGCCGCAGACTGCCCTTGGCCTTGTATGCCAATTGTGGCTTCCCTATGGACACAAAAGGCAAAGCGGTGGTTTGACTTCCTTGTCTTTTCTGCATCTCGTACAGTCTTCCTCCATAACAGTGATGCTGTGGTTCAGCTTCTTAAAAGTTGTTTCACTGCCACCCTTGGCCTGAACTTTACGCCTATATCAAGCGGTGGTGGAGTTGGAGCTCTTCTTGGTCATGGATTTGGATCGCATTTTTCTGGTGGGATTTCACCTGTTGCTCCAGGTATTCTTTACCTACGTGTCTATCGATCCATAAGAGACATTGAGTTCATAACAGAAGAGATTGTTTCTGTCTTGATGCATTCTGTTATAAAGATAGCATGTAGTGGGCTTCCAAGAGAGAAATTGGTGAAGTTGAAGACGACCAAAAATGGAATGAGATACGGACAGGTTTCACTTGCTGCAGCAATGACTCAAGTGAAACTTGCAGCTTCCCTAGGGGCTTCCTTGGTATGGTTATCTGGTGGATTTGGTCTGGTTCAGTCATTGATAAAAGAAACTCTGCCTTCTTGGTTCATATCTGTTCACAGATCCGAACAGGAAGAAGGATCAGGACTGGTGGTGAAGCTTGGAGGCTATGCACTTGCATATTTTACCGTGCTTTGTGGAGTGTTTGCTTGGGGAGTTGACTCATCGTCATCATTATCAAAACGGCGTCCTAAAATCCTTGGGACACACCTGGAGTTTCTTGCAAGTGCACTTGATGGGAAGATATCTCTTGGTTGTGACCAAGCAACTTGGCGTGCCTATGTATCGGGGTTTGTGAGCTTGATGGTTGGTTGCACTCCAAATTGGGTGATAGAGGTGGATGTAGGTGTGTTGCAGAGACTGAGTAAGGGCCTGAGACGATGGAATGAAGAGGAGCTTGCCCTCACATTGCTAGGGATTGGTGGGGTTGGTACTATGGGTGCTGCTGCTGAACTGATAATAGAAAGAGATTGATAACTCCCCACTTTGCTCTAATCTCAGTAAATTTTTTGTAGGATGAAATTCATGGTAGTTTAATGTTGATACAAGAAAGTTGTGTAGTGATGTAACTTATTTTCTAGTTGAAAGGCCTGAATTTTACTTTATGGAAGATTTTTATCCTTTGTAGAAGGAACTCTTGTACATAGAATCTCTATATGAAGCAGAAAAAGAGAAGGTTGCAAATTACATGTTCTTTTTGGCCTATGAAAGTGAAGATTGGCATGCATCTGGGAATTTTCAGATCTTATTTACCCCAACCAATCAAGTGCAGTTCATTGCAGATACAAAATAGCTAAATCAAGAGTAAGATTAAGTGATTAAACCCCCAACTCTATCATACAATGCCACTATACCCATATGATTTATTTATTCTCTCACCCTGCATTGCAGTTCTTATGGACAATACATCATCCCACCTCCCTGCATCTGCATATATGTTTGATAAAAGAACCCTACCACCTTCGTGAGATGGTTCCAACCTTGCCAAATTCTCTGCAGCTTTTTCTGCTACATTAACATTTCCGTGTGTTCTACATGCAGCCAATAACGTGCCCCAAATAACAACATCTGCCTTCATGGGCATGCTCCCAATCATTTCCTCAGCTTCTTCTAGTCTCCCAGCTCTGCCCAAGAGATTGATCATGCAACCATAATGTTTAATACCAGGATCTATATTATACACACTAATCATCCTCTTGAAATACCTTTTCCCTAAATCTACCAACCCAGCATGGCAGCATGCAGTAAGTACACCAATGAATGTTACAGAATTTTGTTTAATATGAGGCCTTCTTTCCAAGTCAGAATATATCTCAAGAGACAAATTCGTACGGCCATGCATGGCCAAGCCACATATAACTGCATTCCATGGTGAGACAGTAGATGTCTTGTCTCTGATTTCATAGAACATTTCTAAGGTGGTATTGATGGTTCCACATTTGGCATACATGTCAATGATTGCTGCACTAAGGTTGTCACTGAGAGAAATGCAGTTATTAAATACATATTCATGCAACCATCTTCCTTCGTTCAATGCTCCTAAACAGGCAATTGCAGAGAAGACACTGGCCAAAGTTGTTTGGTTTGGCTTCATTCCACTAGTTATCATTCCATGGAAGAGCTCTAGGGCGAGGTGTGGCTGCTCATTCTGTGTATACCCAGAAATCATTGAGCTCCATGAATAAACATCTCTTTCGGGCATTTCATTGAATATCTGCCTTGCCTTCTCAATCATTCCATTTCTTATAAATGCTGCTATGAGAACATTCCTAGATGCAAGATGATCCTTAATTCCCAATTCAAACTGCAAACAAGCAAGATCAATCCTGCCACAATATGCATAAAAATGAATGATAGTTGCTTGGACGAACTCATAACAATCAAACCCTGCCTTTACAATTGCTCCATGAAGTTGGAAACCCTCCGTGGTTGCCCTTTCTCGTGTGCATGCTGACATTAAATCCACAACCATAACATCAGTAGGTCCCAAACCATCACACAACATTGCACGGTACATTGCCAAAGCTTCACTTAGCCTATTTACTTGCAGATAACCGTTAATCATAGTACCCCATGAAACTACATCTTTTGCGGGAAGTCTCTCAAACAAATCCCTAGCCAATTCAATAAGCCCTGCTTTTGAATACCCATTTAACATCACATTCCATGAAACAACATTTCTTTCTGCCATCTCATCAAACAAATACCTTGCATCCCTTAAACTCGAACAAACACAATAATTATGCAACAAGTTTGTTGAAACAAGAACAAATCGATCAAGATGCAGCTTAACCACCAAAGCATGCAGCATTCTGCAATCCCAGATTCCACCTAAATGTGAGGAAGCAGAAATCAAATTCACCAGCGTTACCTTATTAGGCATCACACCTGCACCTCTCATGTCCTTAAACACCCCAACTGCCTCTTTCCAACACCCATTCTGAGAAAAACCCATTATCATGGTCGTATAAGAAACACAATCCTTCACAGGCATTACCTCGAACAGGTGACGAGCGTCATCGAACCGACCCAATTTCACAAACCCAATGATCATAATATTCCAAGAAACAGAGTCCAAGTTAACACAAGAATCAAACAAACTCTTAGCATCCCCAATAAGCCCGCATTTCACATACATGTTAATCAAACTGTTTCGAACAAAAGTGTTAGAATTGAAGCCGGTCTTCAAGACCAGGCAATGAATCTGCCGGCCTTGAGCAATGGCCAAACGGGAAGCGCAAGATTTCAGAGCAGAGACCAGAACGAGCTCACAATTGGGGACTTTGTCGCTATCTTCTGTGCTGCAGAGTGCGTGAAGACGGTTGAGAGGAAGTGGGGTTTTGGCGGTTGAAGTGCAGAGGCATTTGATGTAGGTTGGTGGAAAAGAAATGAAGAAGCGAAGTAGAGACTTGGGTTGGGGAGGAAGGAACATGACACGAGACCATTAGGATCGCTGCAGTCACACTCTGTGTATCCTTCTTCGTTCATAAAATCCATTCAACAGAAGAACATAGAAAAAATTTTCAATTTGGAGGGAAATAACGGTATAAAC